GGTGGTCGATTTAGATTTTCTTTTCCCGTCTGCGTTTGGCCTCTGCAGCGGATTTTCTTTTGGTCCCAAAATGACTGCCTTTAGCATACGCTCGTCTCCTATACGGGATACGTGCCCTGCCCAGCGTAACTGTCGGACCTGAGGTCCCTCTATACTCTCCATACTGCCGTTGGCAAGGACATTGCTGTTTGTAGTACTGTCCTGCCACTGTATGTCCATGATGAAGCGCAAGCATCTTTGGTGAAAGCGCTCAAGTAATCTTAGTTGTTTTCTGTATAATACCCATGTCTCAGATCCATATAGAGGGGTTGAGAGAACCACCGCATGGTAGACATTTATTTTTTGTAGGCAGTCGGATCGATTTGTTCCGCCAAACTCTCGCCTGAATGCGTCCAAAAGCGCTACTGGCCCTGGCCAAACGGTTATCAACTTCCCTTGAAAGTGAGGCGTCATTTGACACTATACTAAGTAAATTTAGAATAATCTGCTAATAATCATCTATATTTCTATTCACTTTGTAGATCAAAGTTATGTGTTTTACAGAATCATTTTAATATAAATTAAAAAAAGACAACAGTCGAGTGGTAGTATCTCAAACTATTTTTTTTTGTTTCAACCATTCTTGACTTAATTTTTTAGGCAGCGATGATAGCAGGGGTGATAGCAGGGTTCAGCCCGCCATATGTGATACGGACGAGACTCGAGCCCTATACCTTTATATATTATTTTTTAAAAAAATTTTTTTTTTATTAAACCTCAGAATTTGCGCTATTCAATTTTAGCTTTGTCAACCTAGGAACCCTGGGGCCCTTAGGCCCCATTTTAGGCTTTTTATTTATTAAATTTTTAATTGTAAGTTCTCACATTTCACACATATTAAATCATAGAGAATTAACGAGAAAATTTAAACATGATTAACCTATAATTAATTACTTTACTAATATATATATATATATATATATTTATTCAGTACTAAATAGATTACATTGCCAACAACACATAAACACTAACATAGGTTTAAGGTTTAACCAACAGTTCATGTTTAACGATCGACGATCACTGGGTTGTCCATTATTGTAGACATACGAAGTTTATGGAATTCTTTCGAATATTTTAAATATTGGATCAATGGATGTTGCAAATAAAAAATTTGTTATTTCCTACCTATTTATTCAAATATATTATGAAAATATTTAAGGACATAAATGACAAAATAAAATGTATATTCATGTATTATTATTGTTTATGTTTCTAAATATGTCAATCAAACGACACTATAGAAGAAATATAATATAATATATAAAACATTCATATGTAATAGACTACATTAAAAAAAATAATAATGGCATTTTAAATGAATAGAAATTAAACACATAATTCTGATTCTATCACCCCTTTCATATAAATATCTCTAAAATATGGATAGAATCGTCCTCTGAAATGTGAAATATAGTGAAATGAAGAACAATAATACAGAAGACACATATTATAGTCGTAGTGTAAACTTTTGGTATGTGTTAAGAGATGCTTTCTGTCTGCCTTCCCAGGACTCTACACTTCGGTGTCATGCTTATTTATTGCAATGACATGCATACTCACCTGGGTAGCTTACGGCGCCTGCGCTTACGCCTTAAACTACAACCTGTACCGGCTACAGAAATCGGAGAGAGAATCTGAAATCTGGTTGACTCGACTTTTAGTTCATGTAAGTCTTTTCAGATTGAAGATAAATTAATGAACATTATAATTATTGGCAGTTAAACAAGGATTCTAAGGGTCAGAGGATTCTTATTCGTTATAAGCATTTGAGCAATTCAGTCTATTAGCTTACATCCGCTTAATCTGACTGTTAGTATAAGTTTATATACGTTATTGCTCCAACACTCATTGTCGGATCATGTTAAAGTTTTGTACAATTATTCATTGGCAAAGACACGACATGAATCAATAAAAATCAGGAATTTAACTACTGATACATACATATTTTGTTTAATACCAACTATGGAAATTAATCTTTCAGTATTCACATATATTGCTACATATGTAGGGTTTCGTCCCCTTTGATAATAACACACGCCTTTTCTCCCACATCCATTCTTGGATCAAGTTGGAACTTTAAACAATTATATATTGTGCCTAATCAAACATGAACCAATTTAAAAACAAATAACCAGTTTATTAAAATTAATTATTTTGTTTGATCTCGAATAAGGGACATTCGATGTTGTAGCATGCTTTGAGGTGCTTCGTTTCATTCTGTTTTAAGGATATTTAGGTGAGGGGGTAATATGGGGAGGAAGTTTCCATGCCGCCATCGCAAGTTACTCAAAACCCATGTCTTGTTAATAATTGTGTCATTCAACAAGACATTTAATTTTAAAATAAGAATTAATATAAATATATGTATGACCAGATAAAATGTTTTTCGTAAATGTTATATTTGTATTAGAGGATGAAGGATATTAAATCATTATATAATTTTGCATTGACCTTAAAAAAGGGAAACAGTTCGTTAAAACAGTTACTACTTATGCTTGGCATGCATGCTGACTGTCACTATGACTTAATTGTATACTATTAGTAGTATTGCCAAAGTTCCGAAACCTATAGCTATAATTACTCATGGCTAATTAGATTAGATATGATCCGACCTCATTGGAAATTTATTCAAACAAGAAGGGTACAGTCCATGTCACCAGGTCTCGAAAAACACGTCATTTCCTAAGCACTACTGAAGTGTGGTCTTCGTGTCCCGTATTCTGACTCTATTCTATTTCCGTTCCAAGTTTTTAATGTACCGTCGCGTCTCTAAGGAAATCCCCGATTTGCGCCAACTTCTAAGAGTCTTGCTATCAAGTCATTACAATACTTAACTCTTGACCTCGTAGTTTGCTGTCAACAGAAAAACTCTACACTTTTATAACATTAGATTCTCATAATACAAAAATATTTGCCTACTTAGATAACGTGTTTAACAAGAAATGACCACTGGTTTTAGATATAAACTGACCATGCATCTTTCAATGACAGAACGGCATTGCAGCAATGGGGACTTGGAGCTACTTTGTTTTTGCCTTCAACCTGGCCCTGGCCCTAGTCCACAATCCAGACATCCAGCTCAAAGACGAAATCGCCAGCATTGTAAGTAGAGCAAACACCCCAAAATTATTACATGTGTCAAAAAAAATTTCCTTAAGGATAATAGTGCCTTTATAGTTGACAAACAAAATTGAAGGGAAAAAGTATGCATTGTTTAGTGAAATCAATTCAAATTATTCTGAAACAACTGGATTATCTTGGATCAATTTGTTATGTGATATTTATACCATTTTTTTTTCTTTAAAATGTGAATGAAAGCTGTGGATATTTTTAATTCTCTGGGGATTAATATTTGTTAGTGTAGTGTGTAAACTTTAATTTCTTTTAGGAATTAATATTCTAGTTTTTAAAATGCTATTATCAATGTTTATTTACAGATAAGCTTGTCAATAATAGGATTATATCAAGTGCTTCTGTTAATCCTGAACATAACTTGCTTCGATAGACAGACAAGGTTGGTATTCTATAGAAATCTCTTATAGTTAGCGTAGATTTATAAGGATTGACTTTTACATCATGTTTCCTAGAAAAAAATGTCGGCGCACTATCGGGGTAGTACTTGAGGGAGCTTATACCTCGGCCTAGGAATGTTGCCTCCTAAATGAGGGACTCAAATGTTTCTTTGTGTTTTAGCAAAGAGTAGAAGAAATATATAGAAGTTAGTGACACATTTCCAGAACCTACTGATGGAGATGTGACGTTTCTATCCATATACCCTTGTAACAGTGATGTAACTTCTGTGGGGGGAGGGGGAGTCAAAATTTGAACATCCCCTAGGACACCCCCCCCCCCCCCGCTCTTAAGGCGGCCCCTCAAATGAGTGTCCAAATTTTTTTTTACATTAAATATTAATTCAATGCCATGTTATTTAGCTATTTATGTTGTTATACGATATTAGTTACAGTGTTGCATGTATTCCACACATTATGCTAATATTTTTATTAAGCACATTATCTCAGACATGATGTCGAATGTCAAAATGCAAGGGCCCCTAAAGAGACTGAGGTCTCCGAGCCCCCAAATACCTTGCTACGCCTCTGTCTTGTAAAATCATTAGCTGGAGTGTATCTAGAAGTTGATAATGCAAAGCTCACTGGAAAGACTTCTCGCAACAATGAAGCATCAGAAGAGTTAAGAGGAGGCTGAGCGGTAAAGCGCTTGGCTTCCGAACCGAGGGTCCCAGGCCACATGACACCCTCGTTAACCGTAGGCCACAGAAGCGGATGACATTTACATTATCTGCCCTATAGACCACAATGTCTGAAAGGGGAACTTTACTTCACTAGAATAAAGAGAATGAGATATTATAGACCAACAACTGATTATAGAGGGGAGTAACTGAGTTTTGGTGTACATTTTATTACTTTCTTTGTAGCCGTCCACAAAAGGGGAAATGTAACTCACTACAAAAACGGGTCTTGTTAGTCTGACACTCTATATTCTGGGAGTGTTCTTTCACACTGCATAAATTGCCTCTTTCCATCACAGTATAAATACACACACACACACCCTTAGAGTTGGAGGACCTTAGGAATGTACTTTAAGCACTGCACAACATGTTTGAATCTTGAATACCTTTTCTTCTGTACTCCTCCCCAGGTCTACCATGGCGCCCTACATCCTCAACATCATTGTACTCAGCGCTGTGCTGTTCCGGATGGAGTTGTGGTCAACGCAGGACAACAAGTTCGTTTTGGCAGCCGTTCTCCTGGCCTTCGCCTTCCTCTCTCTTATGGTCAAGTGTGTCTTCGTGGCCTTCCGACTGCTCAAGGGCAGCAGTGGCGGAGGGGAGATAACCTCGGAATATCACCATTCCACTAAAGCTACAGAAGCACACTACTTACTGAAGTAAAAAAATTATACCACAGTTACTTCCCTTTTTATAACCCCCCCCCCCCCCAATGAACTCATTTTTTTTATAACTCGTGACATTTTGCATAAATTAACAATTGTGTGCATTTTCTAATTTATTAAAGGTATGAAATATTTTGTAGCTATAAACTAACGAAACTATTCAATTAAAAAATATGCTATAAGTATAAAGAAAAATAGAATATTAGATCCATCTTCACATACATCTTTAGCGAAAAAAAAAGTTTTTAAATTCAATAGTATAAACATATGCTCAGCCTATTTAAACCGGAACAATCAATGCAATTTTCACATGTCACAATGATAATTTGCATAGGGCAACTACATAGCTGATCGATCTGTAATTGTACATTTGAAGTGTTTACGAAAAGGACAGCTACAAGAGTCAACTAGGAAAAGCAGCTCACTTGAATCAATCACATGGAATTCCAGATCTGGTCTCTTGTGAATAAAGAAAGCCTATGTAAAGCAGATAAGTTAAGAAGAATTGGATGTTGAAATATAAATAGACTTTGGTTCTGGAAGTCTATGGTTACAGTTAAACTTCGGAAGGTCTCTATGTGGCATGATGAGATTCGTTCTATTGTGTGTCAGCTTGTAAGAAAACAGTATTCAATTAGAGAGTCACTTAGAAGCAACGTAAAAACGCCAAAACGAGTCTTACTTTACCATCAACTCGAGTATCATACTTCACCAATTGCCATGACAACATCTCTACAAAATATGGTGGGTTTTATGAACGGTATTGTATTCATTAATCTAACTAATTAATACGAATTATAATATCATATAGTAAAATAGTAAATTTAAAAACGACTAAGACACAATTATGATCATGACTAGGGTGTTGTGTGTATAGGAATATTTGCATAACTGTACAATTTGATACTAATATATTAGAAATATTTCAGCTGTAATTTATACGAATGAAAAAACTAACTAAAATGATAATTTGGTTCTGAAGATATGCTTGATATTACTAAAATCCTAATAATCTCTTTCAACATCGTTTTTCATAGGCGGGCTTTGAGGTTGACAAGCAAGGGGTACACCCCAGTGTCTCGTGCCAAAGGGGACATCGCATTATGGGGATTGTTTTTGTCATTTCATCATACAAATAAGCGCGTTGTCTGAAACGTCATCTTTTGTACTATCTCCTGAAAGACAGACATTCAGTCTGGTGGATTTTTACGCCAAAAGCTTTCCTTAACAGGAAATCCTTACTCAATAGCCATGAAGCCATTTTGGCGTCATCCATATTGAAAACTGTTTGCCTCATATTTTCGGTTATATTTAAGGTTATCCCCCTTCACTTGACGCCCAGGCCCCCCCCCCCCCCCCCCCCCCAACGTACTGCTAAGATTGTCTCTACATTTTCAGATTTGTAGGACGATGTATTTGAAGTTTAAAATTATGAAATTATTTTTTTTTTTCTTTATATGAACGTACCAACGGGCACTCAGTGTATTTCTATTGCGTTTGTTAGCCTAAGCTTCATACGTCTCAGTCTGATGTATGTATGCCATACTAGTGCATATTATGTTTGAACATTTTCTAACAGCAGATAACTGATTGAGGATTTTTTCTTTTTCTAATTAACATTGTACTCTAATGCAATACGTTTTAAAAATGTGATTTTTTTAAAACAAACATTGGATATTGTGGTATACATTTATGTATTTTTTAATTTATCCTTTTTCTTCTCTAATTTTCTACGTGTATATGTTAATTTCAAAACGAAATATATAATTCAAACACAAGAACAAGTTTGTTTTTAAACTTAATGTTGTTTGAGTCGATAGAGAATAGGATGGCTGCCTGGTCGTTTGGTATGCGCTCTGGACTGCACCGGATTTGAACTCTATCCGTCGTCATCATACGTCGTCCGGCGATAGGTTTCGGGCATACATAGAGAAACCATAAATAGACCATACATAGAGAAACCATCAATAGATCATACATAGAGAAACCATCAAGATACTTTACATAGACACACTATTATTAGACCATGCATAGATACACTATTATTAGACCATGCATAGATACACTATCATTAAACCATGCATAGACACACTATCATTAGACCATGCATAAGCACACTATCATTAGACCATGCATAGACACACCACCAATAGACCATACGTTACATTGATACATATAAAAATGTTTCACTGACACACAGCGAATTCTTAAATATTAAAAATACACATATTACACAAAAAAAAAAATAAAGTTTAATAATGTTATAACAAGAAATATTATTAAAAGCAACTAACAATTAAACATGAGCAAACATAGCCCATATTTTATACATCTTTTTAATGTATGATTTGATATTTGAAACGTAAATTGGACAAATTTACATTAACGTCACCATGGAAAACATTTTCAAACATGATTTTCTAAATTTCAGCATTAGATTTCACTAGCCCATATATCTTTAGTGTCTTCTTACAACATGCCTTTATTTACTGGACTTGCAGTAGGCATCCTTCCTATATTTCACTATGAATCTCTTACTGGAGAGAATCAGAGATCTTTATAGATTTTAGTAATTGAACCAATCTTTCCAAGCCTGGAAAAGAATTTAAAAGAAAAACAAAACATTTTACTCATGTTTTTTTTTGACTGCCTAAAAAATTCTACATACGAAAAACCAGTAAATTATCATTCACAAAAAATTCACTACAGTTAATTGTATTGAAAAATATTGTTAAATGAAAAAAATCTAGCATATCTCGATCTATTTTAGTATTTCAAGAGTTATAGATTCTGTAGTATCACACATTTTATAGTGACCGTTGTTTGTTCGTTATAAGCGAGTTTGTTTTAACGTGATTAAGAAGTCTTCACCTTCGTTATTGACTTCATCGTCTAGGGCTGCGACTATTCGAAACCATCCTGGATCTTTTGAGAAACAAGACTCGCCTGGCAGGAGAAATACCCCAGCCTTTAAAAATGATTCAAATAGCTTTTTCTCATTATCGAAGGATTTTTTTCGAAGATACTGAAAAACAAAGCAAGAAGAAGAATGTCAAATAGAAAAACAAATTGCAAAGCCATTTAGTAATATACAAGGAATACAAAAAACAAACCTTCGTTATGGTAAGGTCCTTAAGTAATTATAATATTTTTTGTTAGGCTATAGATAGTTGGCCTCCTCTAGATAGTTGGCCTCCTCTAGATAGTTGGCCTCCTCTAGATAGTTGGCCTCCTCTAGATAGTTGGCCTCCTCTAGATAGTTGGCATATAGATACAAGATGCAAGATAAGAGCCACTCTCGTAAGCTTTCTTGGATACGTCTGACAACTCCAGGATGCCAAAGTGTAAAGGCGTGTTAGGTGCTTTAAGTTGACGACCATCTACAACACGGGTCTAAAACACGGGGCTCAGTCGTTCAGTTTATTTTGTCTGCTTTTGGGAATCTACTAGTGAAATTAAATCTTATTGTGTAATTGTAGTGTGTGCTTAATCATTTCCTGATCACATGTTGAGGATGAAAAGTGTGTTTATTCGTCAAGAGAATTTCTGTTTCTTCACAGAAATAAGTAAATCCAGCAATACGGTAGAATTTGGTTGGGTCAAACTAATCATAAAACACAATCCAATTTTATCACTTACAAACTGATTGACTTTGCTTGCTCATTTCATCTACAATAAACAAATTTCCAGTTGAAAGTAAATAAAAATATTTAAGGTAAACAGATCTACCCAATATAAAAATACATTTCTAACTGTTGTAATGCTAAACAAAACCCTTAGCTGGCAACAAGTCTGTGCCCATGTCATTTTTTAGTTTATTAATGATATTCGTAGTAAAACGTCTTGTCCCAGACATGCAGAACTAAAAGACAATGGATGCTGCATTGAAATGTTTTTATTACCAACTGTTCAATACAACAAGGACCAACTGTCTTTTATTCCTACATGTCTCGGACAAGACATCCAATCTGTTGTTTAGGAAAGGCTATATGTGTAGATTTATTTTCTTCATGATTAAATCTATACTCTCCACTTCTCACTTCCCACCCCTATCTCTAGTTATATCAAGGTATATGTTCTAGAAAATTACCGCCAGCTACAGGGAAAGTTAATTTTAAAGGTCATAAGTATAGATTATAAATTAGCTAAAAATAATTAAGTATTGAATGTCATATTTTGTGATTCTACTTGGCAAGAACATTTTGTACAACGCTTCTATCAACTCAGTCTGGTAACAGATTTGTACACGTTCTTTCTCACAAAGCAAACCATGGATCGAGTTGAAAGTTTGCAAAATTCTTTCTTTTACCGGACAACACAAGAATCATTTTAAAAAAAATTGTTAAAATATAGTTTTAAAATTATTGCTAATTAATTGTTTTGTTTTGTATAGAACAAGTGAAAGAAATTTTATTTGACAGATGTGATATAAGTCGAAATAGTCCCCATGAGAATACTGCTAATTAATTGTTTTGTTTGGTATAGAAAAAGGGAAAGAAATTTTATTTCACAGATGTTGTGATATAAGTCGAATTAGTCCCCTTGAGTATGATTGCGCCCCCCCCCCCCCCGAGTGAACACTTTTGTTTATGCATTTAAAAAGCGATTACAGTAACATTGTTTACGCAGATACTTCTTCCCCAAGCCCTAGTTATTTGTCCAACTGGTCCAGACAAGAGATAGGATCATAGCACCTTGAGAAAGCTAAAAGCATGAAATAATGGTAGAAAAAGATTGGTAAAAATATTTCTAATTGTAAAGATTAATTATTGTTAGACTAGATCTATTACAAATTTAATAAAAATGACTGATACAAACTAATTTATACAATGACACTAAATATAAACTGTGTTTAAAAGTATTATTCTATGTTGTTTTGTTTAAAGCGTACCTTTGAAAAATCGGCCCATATAAAAATAGTGGCTTTACTTGGATGCACTTGCACATCTAATTTTTCTAGAGTCTCCTTGTAGAGGTGGTACCTTTCTAGCATTCTTTGTTTCATAGTAGGGAAGAATGTTTTATCCAGCCATTCTAACACAGAAATATTTTATGAAATCAATCTTCAGTGTTACGGAATAAATGTTTTACAGTTGCACAAAATAGCAATCAGTTTCTGAAGAACTCAAATTTAAAAAAAAATGAATTTTTCTCACAGATAATTGATTTTGATTTAAGTTTGGCATGTATAAAATGTTAATGTTTAGTGTAATGAGATTCTTCATCTATATCTGATGGTTACTTTGCGTCATTAGTAGAAAACGATGGCAGATTTTCAGTTAAGTAAATATGCACATTTCAATGATATACTGTAAGCAGACTTCTAAAGGAGAGGCAACTGATGGTCAGTAATCTGGTCGTTAGCAAAAGATGCGCTTGTGGGGTGTCTCAAGAGAACGCTGACCACAAGAGCCTGCCTTAGGTTATTGGAGGCCCTAGGCAAAACAAATATGGTAGCTGATTGCGAAATGAATGGGGTGGCCCCAAATAAAAGGAGTCTTCTAACAGATGTAGTCTTGCAAGTAGATTTAAAAATTTCGTGAATTAACCTTAAATCATAGTAGACACTTAGATCTAGGTTAGTAGAGCCGTACACCTATGCGAGACCCCCACCAATCGGAGGCCCTAGGCGGCTGCCTAATTTGCCTATGCCTTAGCCCTGTAATTACTTAGACGTCATAGTGAGGTACAACTAAAATACTGGACCCGCAAATCCCTTATAGAAGACACACACTGCATAATTCATCTTAGATATAGAGCTTGTTATTTGAACCCTCCAACAAAATACTGAGAACGTGGAACGCCAAGACGAACACTTTGATATTAAACTCGAATGAAACGTAATCAAGTCTGATTCAGGCCATCTTTTTGGGCTTCTTTACTCTTATCTTATATGTTACAGACGTTATTTAAAAAAAGAAGATAATTACGTCCTAAGCATTTCATATGTCATCTAGTCATGACTTAGGCTAAACTCTGCTAAGTCGTTGGTTTTCCTGGCTGATTCAGGCAACCCATTCCATTCTGTAATGGCACTAGGGAAGAAAGAGCGCTTGTACGAATTTGTTCTGTCTTATGGAATAAGAAAAGCGCCTCTGTCTTTGTGTCTTTCTGAGTATTTCATTAGGTTTTGTTTCTCTTTTTGAAGTAAAAAAAGTGAAAAAATAAAAGTGAAGTAAATGAAATTTACCCTCGTCCTCTATCATAGATTTCAATCTGAGCTGAATCAAACCGTTTGCTCTAAAGTATATGGCCGTCAGACTGACATATTTACATAACAGTTGGTGCCTGGTGTACAACACTGCACAGCGATATCCAGACAACCCAAAATCCTGAAAAAGAGACATACTTTACTTTAGCAACTACAGGCTGACGATATTAATTAAACATATAGTGGTAGAAGTTGGATTAGTCCCCTTGAGGAGACACGACAATGTATACAGATAGTGTGTACACAAAGAAATATACAAAAATAGACTATCTAGTACTTAAAGTGCTTGCTATGGTTTTATGTGATCTAAATATTAATACCTTTTCCTTGTAGTACCGTATTTTCGGTATACGCGTGTGTAGGGTATACGCGTGTGCGGGGTATATGCATGTGTGGGGTATACGCAAATGTGGGGTATACGCGTGTGCGGGGTATATGCATGTGTGGGGTATACGCGTGTGCGGGGTATACGCATGTGTTGGGGGGTATACGCGTGTGTGGGATATACGCGTGTGTGGGATATACGCGTGTGCGGGGTATATGCGCGAAAATGCGGTCAATAAAAAAAAATCATAAACACA